CAATATTTAATTTCCTTGTCTGATGCCCAATCTTCGGAGAGCCAGATGCCCAAGTACTTATATTTATCTACTCTTTCTATGGGCCTTGAGTTAAATTTTAGGATGGAGTTTATAAACACATCTGGGTTTCTGGATATAATCATAAATTTGGTTTTCTTGATGTTGATGTTTAAACCCATTGCTTTGCTCTGTTCTCCTATCTTGCTGACCAGTTGTTGCAGATCGTGTATATTATCTGCAATCAAGACCGTATCGTCGGTGTAGCGGATGTTATTAATCCACACTCCGTTAACTTTGACCCCCATTTCCACGTCCTCCAGAGCCTCTTGGAAACGGCCCTTCTGAGTATAAATTAAATAGGAGTGGAGACAGCACGCAACCCTGTCGCACCCCCCTTCTAACTTGTATGGGATTGGACATGGTATTGGACAATTTTATTTGTGCTGTTTGGTTCCAGTATAACTTCCCAATGCATTGGATGTCTTTATGATCTATATCTAGTGTTTTCAGGAGCTGCATTAATTTGTGGTGCTATACGCGATCGAATGCCTTTTCGTAGTCTATGAATCACAGGCACACATCCTTTCTCTGATCGTAGCAGTTCTGGACAAGCACCTGTGTTGCAACTATCGCTTTCCTGATGCCTAACCCTTGTCTGAATCCCATTTGCGAATCGCTTATGTCCCTTTCACATTTTTTGTAAATTCTCTGGTGTATTATTTTCAGAAATATTTTTAGGGTATGGCTCATCAAGCTGATAAGTCTGTGATCTTCACACTTTCTGGCATTGGTCTTCTTAGGCAGGGGTATAAAAGTAGAACGCAACCACTGTTTGGGGTAGTGACCTGTCTCATATATAATATTGAATACTTTATGTAATGCTGTAATGCCTCTTTCATCTAGCAGCTTAAGTATTTCTGCAGGAATTTCATCTGGCCCAGCCGCTTTGTTATTTTTCGAATTAAGTATGGTATTATATATTAATATTGTCAATCACGTCGCAAAAATTAATATTTTTGTCACATCTGCAAAAAGTATATTTTTATAAATTTTCATAGTAAAATAACTCTGCTTTTTTGGACTTATTTGAAAAACTGGCAAAGAGAAACATTGAAATGGCAGACTATGCAACGATTTTGTTGTCATCCGGTATAGTATACACAAATACTAATATAGGATTCTGCTAATTATTCTAGTCTCCTTGATTAGCTGTGTATATAGGAATATTAGAAAGTTTAATAATACTAAAAATATATAATTGATAACATTGAAAAAGGTGCTTAATTCTAAAAGTTCTTGATTATACAGTATGTACATCTTTGTATATAGTAAGTAATGTGATATCTCCCCATTATAGCCAATATTGTTTGACATAGATATTTGTAAAAAAAATACCATCCGACTAAAGGTCACATTTTTGTTCTTTCAGTACCTATTTATTATGTAGTTATGTACAGTTTGATACATGATATTACAACGTACGACAATTTGTAAAAAAATACAATATTCATATGTTTAAGATTCTTTGAAGAAAAACATAGTAATTTTGTTTAATGCAATTTTTAGTGTATGTTGAGGTGATGTTATTTGAATGTGCTTAATGCTGGTTATTGACAAAATTGAAATGTATTAGCCACTAACAATCAGTTACCGCGTTTATAACAACAATATAACATATAAATGCTTGGAACTACTAAGATGACGTACCATGATATATTAAACTAAAAAAACCACGATGTACGATAAACAGACACAATATAATTAATGTAATAATCGACTATGGTTATTTCAAAATATACATGCTTTATGAACAAAAGTTAAAACAATAATTCATATATTGTGTGTATATGTTGCAGACAATATAAAATCTATATTGGTGTGCTTTAAAGTAAAGGTCTGGCTGAAACCTTTCGAAATAATTAAGTCGGACACCAACGTGCTATTCGAACAATGTGGGAGTAGACTGAAGTCGAGAAAAGTCAAACAATATGAGGCGAGGTTTGGCCGACGACATGGACAATAAGATGACCTGACTCGCCCTCGTGACGTCATCGCATTCAATGCTAATGTGCCCGGGCGCGAGATACATCGGGAAAGGTCTCATCTTTGCGCCCGATGAGGCTGCACCGATATATCACGTCGTATCGGTCAAAGGTGGAGACACGACCATTATCGCAGACAACTTTCATCTTTTTTGACAATTTTGACGGTTTCGGGTTCTGTTTAACGTCATATTCTTTCGATGTACCAAGATCATTGGTTTATGTTCGCTGAATATAATACATGCATAGGTTTATTCGAGTATCTTCTAGAAATAGGCCCCTTGCACATACTTTAATTTTGACTTGAAAACCACTTAAAGACATTCATAAATACAACTAGTGTTGCACAAGAGTCTTGAAAAAGTCTTGCAAGACCAAGACTCTTGCAAGAAATTCAAGACAAGACTTTCAAAATTTTTTGTCTTGTATTTCAAGACAAGACAAGACTTTAATATGCAAGAAACTTCAAGAGTCTTGCAAGATTTCTTGAATTCAAGATTTCTTGAAAGTTAGAAATGATACATTTTTAAGTGATAATTAGGTCTTTGCGCAAGTTATGCCGGGTTTATACAACATTTATATAGTCGTAATCACAATCATAGTTATAATCATTAAAGTTAAACTATCCACTTCCTATATACCTATTGACATCTACCATGAACTTAGCCTTTAATTATGTTACCCAACTTCACTGATATAAAAATTATGATTGATTATGATTGATATAAAAATTATGACTGAAGAAATGTTCTATAAACGCACATTAAAATTGCGTTGTGATTATGACGATGATTAAGCCTGTGATTATGATTACGAATTATGCAAGTGTTGTATAAACCCAGCATTAATATCGACCAGTGTTCATTTTTTTTCTATCATAGCCAATGTTTTAGAGTTGAGAATGAAGTAAAATAAAGTCGAGACAACAAACCGTATATTGGGTAATTGGTATTATAGACAAAATTATATTGGTATAATGGTATTATAAAAAAAACTAACGGTCGTTGAAACTAATGGTGGTTTCGTGGAGCACGCTATTTGCGCTATTTGGTACTACTTTTCATGCACGAAATTGCTCCGCGAACAAAAAGTGGTATCAAATAGCGCAAATAGTACAGTCTAGCATGACCTTTCCGTACACCCTGTGTCCAAACTTTTCCAACCAATCTTCCATAATAAAAAAATAAAATAAATACCATAAAAAATAAAAGTAACAAACGGGTAACCTAACCAAAATAGAACATAAAAAACTAACAAGAATTAACAACTAGAACTAAAAATGAACTTAACCTTACTTATTCTTATTCAGCTTTTATTTGGTAGTGGCTCTTGTTTCGTCAAACGGGCGAGTTGACGTAGTTCGTTTACCGTCTGTTTAGATTTTTTTTGCTAAAATTAGCATCGTTGTTGTTCATTTTTCCGTATTCCATTTTGTATACGACGCTTTCTATGAAATAAAATATAGAAATTTTCAATTTAAAAAAGACAAATTTCAAGAGTCTTGCAAGACAAGACTTAATTGAAATGCCATTCAAGAAATCTGCAAGACAAGACTTTGAAAATTTCTTGTCTTGAATTTCAAGACAAGACAAGAAATTGATTTTCAAGACAAGAATTCTTGTTTTGTGCAACATTAAATACAACACATAGCACCTCCACCCTCCCCCACCCACCAGTGCTTATATATTAAAAGTTCAACTGCCTGCAAATTTTCATATATAAAAACAATTTATATATATATATATATATATATATATATATATATATATATATATATATATATATATATATATATATATATATATATATATATATATATATATATATATATATATATATATATATATATATATAATTAATATGTATTAATATATATATCTTCGACGTCTATATATATATATAGTCTATATATATATCTGTCTGTCCAGAGGTTTCGTCTATATATATCTTGTATCTGATGTCCCAGTCTATAACGTTCTCCAACTCCGTCTGATTTCCAGTCTCCATTGGTACACACTGTCTGTCCAGAGGTTTTCGTCTATTCCTCTTGTTCTGATGTCCCCGTTTATTCCTTCTCTCCAACTCCGTCTAGGTCTCCCTCTCTTGCGTTTGCCTTGTGGTGTCCAATTGAGTATTTTTTCCGGGATTCTGTTCTCTTCCATTCTTTGTACGTGCCCTACCACCTGAGTTGGTTAATTTTGATGTCTTCTGATATTCGGTGTTTAACGCCCATGATGTTCTGAATTCTTTCATTTCTAACTCTATCCAGTTTCGATTTTCCGGCCGCGCGCCTCCAAAAGTCCATTTCTGTAGCTTCGAGTAACTTAAGGTTTCTTTTTTTCAAAGGCCATACTTCACTACCATAACTAATGATACTTTTAACTATGCTGTTATAAATTTTGTGTTTGTTTTCTTTTGATACGGCCTTATCCCATAAAATACTGTTGAGTTGTCTAATTGCTTGTCTTCCATGGTTGTTTCTGCACTTAATTTCTTCATCAAGGCTACCAAGGGTGGTAATGTGCATGCCAAGGTATTTATATTTTTGGCAGTGTTTTATTTCTTGCTGTTGCTGTTCTAGGATTATGTTCTGTTGTTCGCCGCCGATACACATATATTCCGTCTTCTTAAGGTTTACCTCCAGCCCCCACTTGTTATACTTTTCAATTAGTTTGCGGGTCATATATTCCAGATCCTCGTAGTCTTGAGCTAGTATTATTTGATCATCAGCGAAACAAAGAGTGTAAAGTATCGAGTCGTTTAATAGTATCCCCATCTGTTCACACTTCCTTTTCCACGTTTTCAGAGCTTGTTCCAAATAGATTTTAAACAGTGTGGGCGATAGACAGCAGCCCTGTTTAAGACCTTTGTTTATGCTGAATCCCTTTGATATTGTTTTTCCTTTCTTTACTTGGCTAATGTTGTTCTTATAAAGTTCTTGGACAGCCTTAATTAATGTTATGCTGATATTCGTTTTCTCGAGGGCTTCCCGCAATTTAGACTGGGGTACACATCATATGCTTTCTTGAGGTCTATGTAGAGGAGATGTATTTCTTGATTTCTTGCCATCTTTTTCTCAATTATCTGTGTTAGTGTAAATAAATGATCGACCGTGGATCTACCAGCTCTAAATCCCGCTTGTTCTTCAGCCTCCATATCCCGGTATTCTTCCTCAATTCTCTTTTTGACCAATTTTCCATAGACCCTTGAAACAGAGCTCAGCACGGAGATTCCGCGATAGTTATCGCAATCGTCTTTACTTCCTTTCTTGTGTATTGTTGTTATATATGATGTCTTCCATTCTTTCGGTATATTTTCACCATTAAGGCACTTTTGGAAAAGACTAGCGAGCTGCTTATTATAATTTATCCGTGCCGTACTTGAGTAATTCTGGAGGAATTTCACCTGGACCAGGCGATTTTCTATTTTTCAGGGTTTGGCAAATTTGTTTTACTTCTTTGGTATTGATCCTCATTGGAGAAGCTGCGGTTCTTATTTGAATTTGTCGGATTGTGGCTGAAATTTTGTTGATATTCGGCCCTTTCGTCGGTCAACAGTTTAGCAAAGTATTCGTCCCATTTTGGTAATGTAATTGGTGAGATGATATCTTTAGTCTTCTTTTTTTTTTCTAATAATTATATCAATATATTAACTTAATATCAATATTTACTTAAGAAATAAAATATATTTAAATTACTATAGATTTATGATATTCATAATATGATTTTATAATTTCTTCAAAGCTGTCGGATATATTTTTCTGATATACCTACGAAAAGAAAAATGACCAAGTGAATATATAGCCAATAACTTAGGTAATAAGACCGGTAAATATTCTTAGGTATCGATTACTATAATGACAGTTAAAAGATGATGACCATTACTTACGGAAGACCGTACGCTAAAGCCCATAAATTAACTTTAGTACACTTATTAAGAACCGCATTGCGCATAGATGTTCAATAAATTTCACTATATTATTACAGGCGTTAGTACCACACAAATAATAATGTTTAATGAGTAATTAAATTAAGCAGCTTCTTAAGTACATTGCCAATTACAACGTATCGTTATACAGTTAATCATAAACCAACAAAAAATGTTGAAGTTTAATATATAATCTCAATACTGTTATTATTTATCACACTGGTATCATAATCCATACATGAAAACCTGAAAGGTTTTTTTGTTCCGTCCCTCAAGCTTTGCCCATTTATTTCCGTATCCTGGTAGGTGATTTATTATGATTCTGTTTATATTACATAGGCTTCTTGGAGAGATTTCTGGTGTTCGTACGAAGTCGATAAGTTTTCTTTATTTTAGAAATTTGTTCATCAAGTTTTGCAGGCTTTTTGCTGTATCCAAAAACACTATTTACCTACGGTCTATGACGATGATCTATCTATCTATGATTGAATAGATATGATTCCAATTATTAATCTATAAGAAATAATGATATGCCCGGCTAAAACTGATATCTCAATACGGATCCAAATTCTTTTCTCGATGCTCTTTTTCGGTAGGATTGAACTTAATAAACCGGATGCAAACATAACATCATTTGATATACATAGGATACAGGATAGGGTCAACATTTAGAAACCTAATTTCGTTGTAGTTTGGTTTGTTTTTTTTTTGTTTTTATTTCCATGTTGACCAAAAATGTAGTTTTCTTTTGTCATTTTCTTATTTAAAATGAACAACAGTGAAAAGGTAACACTCAAATATTAAACCGTTAGAAACAGAGAAAAACTAATGAAAGGAAACGCCTTTCTAATGCGTGTCAAATATTCGACGGCGAGTAATGGCAGTAAGTAAGTACTTAAAACAAATATCAAAAAATCCATCCACGGTTTCATCTTATACATTTATCTTTGTTTTTATACATTCTATGCTCATCTGATATTTATAAATTGAAAGCACAATTGAAAGAGCAAACCTTATGAGAAAAATATATACACAGAAGCCAAAGCAAGAGTAAGAAGAGTAATCACATAAAAGAACCTCAGGATTGTCGAAGCTGTTTACAGCAACACCAAAAGAAATGTTTCGTTAACATTCTTAGACCAACAAAGGACTGAAGATAGATGGAGAACAGCTCAGGGAACAGCTCAGGATCTCTACTGCCAAAAACCAACAAAGAGTACAAAAGTAACATGGAGTACATTTAGAAGAAACTCGATCATACTAAAATCTAAATTGATAATAGATAAATATATAAATTGAAAATAGATAAAGTAGCATTTGCCACTTTATCTAAAGAAAACATGCATCAAAGTGTACTACCACTAATGACGTAAAAAAAAACCTTCACCCTAATCTTTTGATGTATTTTAAAGTTTAATATATTTTGTTCTAATGGGCCGATTTTGATGATATTTTAAGCATTTTGTAGCTAAACTATTTGACTTTTTAGTATTTCTTCCTAACTTAAAAATCAATATATCTGTCAATTATACGAGGGAAAACAAAATGTTGATATTTTGGTGAAAGTTTGAAACACCCTTCCAATATCAAGGAAATTAAAAATCATTTTATCATCTAGGTACGTCTTTTCTCTCTTTTTTAGTTTGTTTTTTTTTATTCATCTCAATAGCTTTATTTTTATTGGAAATATTTGCTTTTGAATAAGACTGTAACGATTAACAGCATTTTTAGCATTGATTTTGGGTCCTCATCAATACAATTATAAAAAATAGTGTTGTATAAATAGTGGTAATCACTAAATTTGACGTTTGGGCTCTACATATTTTCTTGACAGACAGTTTTTTTCGTCCAAAAATTTTAAATATTTTTCTTCTCAAAAACGGTTAATGTTAGATATAGAGTGTTTAATATCAAAATTCATATAATTTTACAGAGAATTTAATTATGTAATAAAAAATGGGGTACCCATTTAGAATAAGAAAGTTGTTGTTAATTTCCGGTATTTCCGGAAGTGCCGCCATATTCAGAATATTTTTAGTCGATAGATCGTTGTCAAATAATGATGTGCAATAAATCTCCGATCTAGATATTGTAGTTTTCTAGAAACTTTTAATGCACGCTCAGTCTGGGACAACCTACCTATTATACAGAGAAGACCAGGCTACTAGTAACATGGCAAGTTGCCGGACGAATTTACGTTTACCCGTTTTGCGTTCGTACTCGAGATTCAGCCAGCTAGTCGGCTGCAGGGCCATGTAAGTGAAATATTCAAAATGGTTCCAGCAAAAGTTTCCCAATTATGACGGGTGATGGCGCTGATCGTCAAGATTTTTGGACAGGGATTTTGCTTACCGACAATACGACGTGAGCTACGACCGGACCAGGACCAATCAGAATAATCAGTCTTTCTTGGACATTTGCCGCGGAAGTGTGTGTTAATTTCTGTTGTGATAAGTGTGGTGTGTGGTTGTGTTTGCAGTTTGATTTTTCGGTTTTGATATTATGTTAAAATTAATTTTGAAGTATTGTATCACCTGTTTTTATGTAATAGTACTTTTTTTAGTTCTATGATCTGATATGTTATGATTTATTAATGTTTGTTTTAACAATGTTATACCAAAGAGGTTATACTTAATATATCAATTTGCATAGCCTAACTTTTTATCAATAAACTTTGTAGATTTTCAGATTATTTAATTCCTTTTGTTTCCGTTTTGTAATTTTATTTTAAGACATATTATGTGATTGTTTCAGATAATATGTTTTAAAAAATAAAATTGCAAATAGCGAATAAAAATAATTAAAATAGAAAAGTGTATTTTACAATTCCCTGGCCCCTGCACCCCTTTGGCTAACCTGTAAATGTCAGCTTTGTCGAGAGATGGCGTTGCCGGACGAATTTACGTTTACCCGTTTTGCGTTCGTACTCGAGATTCAGCCGGCTAGTCGGCTGGTCAGGCAGTACGCAGTTGCAGTGGTGCTTGGACGGATCGGCCGTGACAGACTAGGAATACGACGCGAAGAGAGCCGAGTATTTATTATTTTCATTTTAAGTGTTTACCTTCACTGAAGGTAACATTTAAAATGAAAATACTTAAATATTTATTATTTGAGTGTGTTTACAAGCCAAAACTAAAAATAAATAAATTCTCTAAACCCCAAAAAAAACTAAAATATTACTCTAAATAAGAAAAAAATATAACAAGTGTTCAAAAAATCCATCTTCTTGTGCTAGACAGAAGCCTAGGCGGTCGTAAAATCCCCGTCTGACATTGGCTAACATATTAGGGCTAATAGTTTGGAAAGCCTCTCATATTTTTACTTGAAGCTCATCCAGATTATTAGCCCTATTATGATACACTTTGGATTTTACATAATCCCACAAAAATAAGTCGTTGGGCGAAAGATCTGGTGATCTAGCGGGCCACAAAATAGTTCCATGTCCACTAATTAAACGGTTGGGAAAAGTATTGTTCAAATATTCTTGAACAATACGGGCATTGTGGGCAGGGCAACCACCTCAGCAATTTGATTACTTGAAAACGTGGGATTTTGATCCGCGGTAGCACAAATGAACACTTGCTTTAACTCCTGTTCTTCATTAATCAACACATCAGGCTTTTTGTGTTTTTGTGGGAACACGCACCCATGTGTTTCAAAATTATTAATAACTCTTGATACAGTAGGTAAAGATGGAATTGGCCTGTTTACAAAAGTTTGTGGAAAAATTGTTTGTATTTTCCGATAAGACCTATTTTGGAAATACCATTTTACAATTTGAATTTTCTCACGAACTTCGTAAACATCCATTATTTTACTTAAAAAATAAATTTTACACGAGAACTGTCGCGAGAATCTATGTATTCGTTTTAGCTATTAAAACACGAATAAATACAAATTCTGAAACATTCTTATCACATATCTACGTATTTTTATTTTATCACATTTTTTCGCCTGCTTTTTATCCGTCGGACGGGTATACGCTAATTCGTCCGGTTCTGCCTATGTTACTACTACGGTGGTCCGGTCTGTATATTTTAGTGAATCTACACCATAATTGTAAATGGTTGAATAAGTTGGAGGTGATGATGATGTAAGATAATATTACAATTCTAAAGTCGCACATCATAACTAATAGATTGCCAATGTAGTTGCGGTATTAGCATCTTGTCCAATAATTTATACCGCCAATAACGGCGCGCTGGCCATGAGTCGGTTCCGAATTATTGGCGTCTAGCTGCGTTCTCGATCGATTCATCATATCATTCGCTCGATAGA